TGTGGGATGCCTGCCGCAGCATGGCTTAATGAGCGAGGCATAGGTCCACAACCGGGATCGGAACCCGCGAACCCCGGGCCGCCGAAGCCGAGTGTGTGAACTTAACCATTACGCCACCGGGCCGGCCCCAAATTTCTGTTGTTTTAAGCCATTTAGTTTGTGGTACTTGGTTACGGCAGCCCCAGGATGCTAATACACTGGGCATAGAGGAAGCAGCCGTGTCTGAGACAGTCTTTGCTTTTGAGGGATTGTTCGCTCTTACTCTCTCTCTCTCTCTCAGACGTATGTTTCACACTTTCCTTATCATGGATTCCACATTTCCACCAGCATCCAAATTAGCTTCTGTCCAGAGAGTATTGCCATGTAATATTTTCCTGTATGAGCTGGGCATGTGATTTCCTGAATGCTTATAGATTCAGTGTTTTTGCTGATAAGAGTGTAGAGTGAGAAAAAAAGGCTTTGGGCTTTATGAAACACATTTATCAACTAGAAAACAAAATCGTTTTTAATGAGACTACAAGAAGCAGTTGCAGCTCAGCTTAGCAAACACTGGTTGTCTCCTCTGTGCTGGGAATAGAAGCAGGGAGTGTATGAGATGTCTATACGGAACAACGGGTCCAGCTCTGGCCCCGGGCAGCCAGAGTGGATGCTGGCCGGGAGCTGCATCAGTGTCTCCAGCTGGACGTCAGCTCTGGATGTAACATGGATGAGACCTGCAGCTTAGTGCAGAGGAATCAAGGGTGAGAGAGAGAGGCTGTGTGCAAAGACGGTTCCACCCAGGGCCGCGAGTGCTAGGGCAGACCTGTGAAGGGGATGTGGTGGGAGTTCCCAGGGTGCAACTAACAGCCTTGAACATTTGGACTGAATATATGCACACGGTTCCTCGGTGCAGCCACTCTTCCTGGTGGACAGCGGTCCTTTCCAGCCCTGGTGCAGCCTGTGAGTCTGTGGCCTTCAGGTAAGTAGATTACCTGCCGAGGGAGGAAGTCACACATCTGGTGGATGGTCGGTTCGTGAGTCAGAGAGAAGGAAGAGGCTGATAGTTATTACTGCTTTCCTTGTCAGGCACTGAGCTGTATGGTTTGGATGTGTTGCATTTAACTCTGATTCACTCAGAAATTTACTTTGAGGTCTAGTGAACAGAAAAGTACTAATTTAATTTTGCTTTTGTCCAAATAACTAACCAGTTCTCTCAGCCCGGCTTACCCAATAACTCTTCTCTTCTCTGCTGGAGTCCACCCTGGGCCTGTTAACCTGCCAAGCTGTGTTCCCTCCCCCACTCCATCTTGAATCTCTGGTGCACATTTTTGTGACTCAGTTTCCCAGGAGAAGACACTTCACTAGGGATTATGTCTTTTTGTTCACTGCAGGCATCTTTGTCTCGTGCAATGACTACTTGTTGAATGAGTGAATAAATGATGTATTCTTATATCTGGTAGAACAAGACTTTTCTCTTCAAAACTTATTTGGCAGAACCTTTTACCCTATTCTCAACTATTTATTCTCCTAAGAATGACTTCTGTCAGTTTTGGGGAATAACTTCGATTATGATTATGTTAAACATGAACATGAATTTGAGAGGAACTGACAAATCTCTTCTTGTGTCCCAAAACCTTTACTGCCTTACCCCATTCATCACCTTAACAACCCTATGAGGTGGGGATCATTGTGCCCATTTCACAGATGACTATGGTGAGATGCTGAGAAGTGAAGGACTGCCTCCTCCTCGAAGCTGTCCCTGACCCCCAGGCAGAAGTGACCCTGTCATCGTTAATGTGCACAGCACTCCCTTGGACTTGTCCCTTCCAGGACTCATTCATTCATTCATTTGTTCATTCAATAGACATTTATTGAGCTCCTACTATATGCCAGGTTCCGGGGATACTGCAGTGAACACAACAGGCAAACACCCCAGCCCTCCAGGAGTTGGTATTCCCAAGTGGGGTGCAGACAATGAACAGGTGGACAAGAGAACAACAGATATTTCAGCTTGCGAGAGTTACTACGAAGGAAATAAAAATGGTGACGAAGTAGAGAGGACCGAGGGGAAGGTCACCCAGGCATGGTGGTCAGGGAAGGCCTCTCATTTCTCCAAGGAAGAGAGACTTGAGGATGGGAAGGAGCTGGCATTGGGGCAAAGCAGGGCCAAGCATTCCAGGGAGAGGAACAGCAGGAGAGTGCCTGTGTGGATGGGAAGCAGCAGGAGGCCTGGGAGGCTGAGGCATGCTGAGGGCAGGGAGAGTGCATGGGGGAGGCTGGGAGGGAGGCGAGGACCAGGTCCTTCCAGGTCGTGGTGAGGAGCGTGGATTTTATTACCTATACTGTGGGACGCTACTGAAGAATCTAAACAGTACCTGGGTTGTAGGGTCTTGGCATGGTGGGCAAAAGAGAGAAGAAAGGACTCTTCTCGGTCTTGGACCTAAGAACAAACTCAGACCCTGGAGCCAAAAGGTGAATTCACAGCAAGGGTAGCCCATTTTGAGAACTGCAGTGGTCTCATCTCCTGTCTAAAATAACACCTTACTAAAACCCCGAGTCACTGGGAGGCTGAATCAGCCCCTGGAGGGTGGCTTGGTGAACAAGGGGAGATGAGTCCTCTGGAGCAATGCTTTTCCAGGCTCTGCCAAGGCCCGACACGTCCTTGTCCTGAAGAAGTGTCTAGAGATCTAGTGGGTCAACCTTCCTTACTCTACTCGACTCATTCCTTTCTGCTGGTACCCTGTCCTCCTGTTCCAGGAACTCATCCTGGTGTTTCGTGCCACTGGGTTCTTATTTTTCTTGTAGCTTTTCCTGGAATCCCTGCTTCTTCTCCTCACCCTCTGGAGAACTCTTGTTATTCCTCAAACCCACACTCAGGGTCTTGTGCTTTTCAAAGCTCTCCGTGACTGTCCCGCAGGATGGAGTGGATCCCTTTCCCAGGACCTTGTACCCAAGCTGCTACTGCACCAGCATCTGCTTTGGTGTCTCTGGTGGTCTGAAAAGACACCGCTTTTCAACAATGTACCTCACCGTCCCCTGGCCAGCCCCGGCAGTGCTTGTGGCTTCTTCCGGTGGGACAGGCTAATGATCTAGGAACCGAGGAGTGACCAACTATCCCGTCCAGGGAGGCAGGACTTTCCGTGCTAAAACCAGGAAGGTCCAGGCAAACCAGGACAAGATGGTCACCCTAAGAAACCTACTCTTCAACCCTCCCACATCCCCCAGCCAGCTCCTCTTGCTCTGGACCAACAACCCTGTGTGATCCCAACAACCCTATGTGACAGTTTGCTCAGTGATTAATACGCTCTCCAGTTACAAGACAAGACAAAAGAGGAGGCCAGGGGAAACCAAGCCTTCCCTCTAGAAGGGATCAAGCTGGGGTTGAGGAGTGGGCCCCGGAGGGCAGCAGCAATGGGCTCCCTGATTCTGAAGCCCAGAATTAGCCAGACTCACCTGCCTGTTCAGCGACAACTGTGGACCCCACAGACCTCTCCACGTGGTGGCTGGCCGTGAAAATTTTCTGGCAAGAAGGAGCAGAGGAAAAGCTTGCTCCCTGAGGACAGACAGGTTCTAAAGAGAGAGCAGGACAAGCAGAAATATGCACGTGCAGGTCCTTTTCCAGCTCACCACTGGGGCAAGTCACACCACCTTTGATGGAGCAAGAGGCCACGGACTTTCAGGGAATATCCTTCCTAGGAGAAACCAGAGGGGAGGGAGGATTGCTCCTCATGCCTCAACACAGACGCTAGCACCTCTGAGAGGCTGCAGTGTGCCAGGCATATTCTATGTTCTTATGGAAGGTGGGCACTGCTTCCCCCATTTTACAGATAGGGTAGGTGAGGCACATAGAGGCCAAGTGACTCATCCAAGGCCACTCAGAGCTGAAATGGACCTAAGCAGACTGACTCCAGGCTGGCTTCTCCTGATCCCTGGGTAGACATCTGCAGAAGGTTCAGAGATAACGCTGAGGAGAAAGCAGTTTGTTGGGAGTGGGGGAAGTTTCACAAGAGAGAGTATATGAGCTGTGTGTCAAAGGCCAGGTAGGAATTTTCCCCAAAATAAGGATGTTGCAGGAATGGCTTTCCAGGCAGGTGAAACAACAGCACAGAGACATGGCAGCCTGAAGCAGCATGAGGCCTTCCCGGAAGCAGCAATGTGTATTGCTAACTGGACGGCAGGTGGCAAATGCCATCAGTGATGCCTGCTTCATGGGACCCTGGGGGCTCAGGATAGGATGTGTACATTTCCTAGCTCATTGGTCGTCACATAACAAGTACAGTCCAAGCCCACTGCTTTTCTCTTCTTCCTTGACTTTTGGTGAGTGGGGAAGAGGTGAAAATATGGAATTTCTTTTCCTGGCAAATTATTCTCAAAGGAAACCAATCTAGGTCAAAGAACCAAGGTTTTGCTGAGTTAACCGTTAACCCTGTCTCTGTTCCAAGCGCGTTAGGCATTAGATGGTGCGCTGGATTCTGACTTTGGCTTGGCAGGGACATAATTCAACACAATTATCCTCCATTGCATAAGTGTAATACACAGGGAACTAATTGTATTCATTCACTTCCCCACATCCTCGTCCCCATAATGTAGTGAACTAATCAATTCACTTCATCTTTTGTAAATAACATGTCTTTCCCAGTTATTGGAAACTGGCTGTAATTCAATCTAACTCAAAAATATTTACCGAACGCTTATTATGTACCAGGAGTTGTGTTTGGCACTGTGAATATGGGGATTCGCTTTCAATCTTTCCTTTGGCTGGTGAATATTTGTTGAATACTGACTGTGTAGTAACACTGTGTTAGGTGCCAGGGATACAGTAGAAAAAACTACAGCGAAGGGGGAATGGAACATGCTGATAAGTTTCCATCAGTGCTGGGCGCTGCCATGGCAAATATAACACAAGTGAAACCAGAAGCCATTGGAATAAATGGGTAGGTCTGTAGGTAAGGACTCTCAAAAATCCATACAAGGTGTGACAAATCTGACTTGTTCCTTTTTTTTCCTTTTTTCTTTTGCAGTCAACTTTGACCATTTTCAGATTCTGCGGGCCATTGGCAAGGGGAGTTTTGGAAAGGTAAGAATGATGAATCTTTAAAAATTTCATCAACAAAATATAAAAGTCCCAACTACTGGACTTATGTCTGTTATTTTGTGTTTGTTTTTGTGTTGGTTACTGGGTGCTGGGAATTTTCTGTTTGACAGAAAGATTTGGATTTGCCAAATCTGAAATGTGAAAGGAAGTCTGAATAGTTTCCTTTGGATCCACTGTAATTTTATTCTGAAAATTGAATTACTATGGCAGGCCTGGTTTAGGTGAATTACAATGGTAATTATTTCAAGATTGCTAATGCTATTTCTTCTTTGAGGATCTAAAGGAGGAAAGTGGAAAAAAATCCCACAGACTTGTGAGATGGCTAACAGAAGCTCTTTCCTACTATGTAGGCATTTTATTAAAAAAGTGTTTATTGTGGAAAGCATACTTAACATAATTTTTACCCTCATAACAAAGTTTTAAGCGTACAATATATAATTGTTGCCCCTGGATACAATGTTATACAGCAGATCTCTGGAGCTTATTCATCTTGCTTGACTGAAACTTTATGCCCATTGGTTAGTAACTCCCCATTATTTCTCCTTCCCCTCAGTCACCAGCAACCACCACTCCACTCTTTGATTCTATGAGTTTGACTATTTTAGATACCGCACATATGTGGAATCATGCAGTATTTATCTTTCTGTGACTGGCTTATTTCACTTAGCATAATGTCCTCAAGGTTCATCCATGTTGTCACATATTGCAGAATTTCTTTCTTTTTTAAGGCTAAATAGTATTCCATTGTACCACATGTTCTTTATTCATTCATCTGTTGATGGACATTTAGGTTGTTACTGCGTCTTGGCTATTGTGAATAGTGCTGCAATGAACACAGGAGTGCTAATATCACTTCAAGATACTGATTTCAGTTCTTTTGGATAAATACCCAGAAGTGAGGTTGCTGGATCATATGGTATTTCTATTTTCAATTTTTTGAGGAAGCTCCATACTGTTTTCCATAGCGGCTGCACCAGTTTGCATTCCCACCAACAGTGTGCAAGGGCTCCAATTTCTCTACATCCTTGCCAACATTTGTTGCCTTTTGTTTTTTTGATGGTGGCCATTCTGACAAGTGTGAAGTGGTATCTCACTGTGGTTTTGATTTGCATTGCCCTGATGATTAGTGATGTTGACCACGTTTTCATATGCCTGTTAGTCATTTGTCCATCTTCTTTGGAGAAATGTCTATTCAAGTCCATAGCCCATTTTAAAATCGGGTTATTGGTTTGTTTTTTTTTCAACTATTGAATTGTAGGAGTTCCTTATATATTTTGGAGATTAACCCCTTACCAGATATGTGGTTTGCAGATATTTTCTTCCATTCCATAGGTTGCCTTTGCACTCTATTGATTGTTTGCTGTGCAGAATTTTTTAATTTTTTTTTGCTGAGGAAGATTCGCCCTGAGCTAACATCTGTTGCCAGTCTTCCTCTCTTTTGTATGTGGGCCACTGCCACAGCATGGCCACTGATGAGTGGTATAGGTCCGCTCCCCGGAACTGAACCCGGGCCGCCAAAGCAGAGCACACTGAACTTAACCACTAGGCCACTGGGGCTGGCCCTGCAGAAGCTTTTTAGTTTGATGTAATCTCACTGGTTTATTTTTGTTACCTGTGCTTTTGGTGTCATATCCATGAAATAATTGCTAAGACTGATGTCATGAAGCTTTTTCCTTATGTTTTCTTTTAGGAGACTTACAGTTTCAAGTGTTAACATGTAAGTCTTTAATCTATTTTGAGTTGATTTTTGTGTATGGTATAAGATAAGGGTCCAATTCCATTCTTTTGCATGTGGATATCCAATTTTCCCAGTACCATTCGTTGAAAAGACTTTCCTCTCCCCATTGTGTATTGTTGGCGCTCTTGTCAAAGATCAGTTGACTAAATATTCATGGATTTACTTCTGGGCTCTCTGTTCTGCGCCATTGGTCTACGTGTCTGTCCTTATTCTAGTACCATGCCATTCTGATTACTCTAACTTGGTAATATAGTTTGAGATAAGGAAATGTGATGCTACCAGCTTTGTCTTCTTGCTTAAGATTGTTTTGGCTTTTAGTGGTCTTTTGTGGTTCTATATGAATTAGAATTGTGTTTTCTATTTCTGCAAAAAATGCCATTGGCATTTTGATAAGGATTGCATTGAATCTGTAAATTGCTTTGAGTAGTATTAATTTTGATAATATTAAGTCTTCTAATCTGTAAAATGGATGCCTTCCATTTGTTTGTGTCTTGTTTAATTTCTTTCTTCAATGTTTTGTAGTTTTCAATATACAAGTCTTTTACTTCCTTAGTTAAGTTTATTCCTAAGTAGTTTATTCTTTTTGGTGCTGTTGTAAATGGAATTGTTTCCTAATTTCCTTTTCAGATAGTTCATTATTAGTATATAGAAACACAACTGATTTTTGTATGTGATTCTGTATCCTGCAACTTTATTGTATTTGATTATTCTAATTCTTTTTGTGGAATCTTTAGGATTTTTATGTATTATATCATGTCATCTGCAAACAGGGACAATTTTACCTTTTCCTTTCTGATTTGAATGCCTTTTATTTCTTTTTCTTCACTAATTACTCTGTCTAGGATTTCCACTCTGGTGTTGAATATAAGTGGTTAAGAGTGGGTATCCTTGTCTTGTTCCTGATTTTAGAGGAAAACTTTTCATTTTTTCACCATAATGTTAACTATGGGCTTTTCATATATGACCTTTATTATGTTGAGATAATTTCCTTCTATTCCTAGTTTGTTGAGGGTTTTTATCATGAAAGAATGTTGAATTTTGTCAAGTGCTTTTTCTACCTTTATTCAGACAATCGTGATTTTTATCCTTTGTTCTGTTAATATGGTGTATCACATCAATTGATTTTTGTGTGTTGAACCATCCTTACACCCCAGGGATAAGTCCCCCTTGCTCATGGTGTGTGATCTCTTTAATGTGCTGTTGGATCCGATTTGCTACCATTTTGTTGAGGAATTTTGCATCCATATTCATCAAGGCTGTTGGCCTATAGGTCTTTTTTCTTGTGGTGTCTTTGTCTGGCTTTGGTATCAGGGTAATGCTGGGCCTATAAAATGAGAGGAAGTAGTCCCTCCTCTTCACTTTTTTGGATAAGTTTGAGAAAAGTGTTACTAATTCTTCTTTAAATCTTTGGTAAAATTCACCGGTGAAGCCAACTCTATTGAGCTTTTCTTTGTTGGGAGGTTTGACATTTGTTTGTGGAAAGTACATATTTGTGATCCTTGATCATTTTCAGTGACAGGCTAGGGAAAACAACAAGAACAAGGCAGAGACTTTTAGAAAACAGATCCCAACCGAGTCTGTCTGTTCCCTCTTACTCAGAAATTTCCTTTGGCAATAATTGCTTTGAGTATCTATTGAATACCAGGTATTCTCATATATTCTTAAGTAACTATTATTATTTCCATTACACAAGTGGAAAAACTTAAATGGAAATACTTAGACTTGGTAACTCCAAAAGATGGTGGGGGTTTACCCATGGTCACACAGGCAGGAAGTGTACGAGCTGGGATTTGAACCACAGACTGTTTGATGACCAAGGACCTGCTCTTTACCAACTTCACACTCTTGATTGGACCATTCAAAACTTCCAGACTTAAACTGAGATATTGACCTGAGAAGTTGGATAGAATCAGCCTTCCTTCCTTTCTTCCCTCCATCCCTCTCTCTTTCTCCTCCCTTCGCTCCCTCCCATCCTTACTTTCCTTCTGTTTTTACATTAATTCAATCCAGGAATATTAATTGAGGCTTGGCACTACTCTAGACTTTGATCCAATAATAACATAAACAGACCCAAGTGCATTCTCTTGGAGCTTACATTTAGAAAGGACAGAGATGACAAACAGATAAATACGTACGGTTATGGTACATTAGATAGTAATAAGTAATAAAAATAAATAAGTAATAAGTAATAAAAATATAGTAACGTAGAGGGGTATGGAGTTCTGGGGGGGAGGGGGAGAAGTTGCTGTTTTCTGGAGCTGAGCTGTCAATAGGGTGACCACTAACCACATGTGGATATATAAATTTAATTTAATTAGCATTAAGTAAAATGATAAAAATTCAGTTTCTCAGTCACACTAGCCACATTTTAGGTGTCCAGGACACCTCAGACTCTAGGACATTTCCATCATCATAGGCAGTCTGCTGGACAGTGCTCTCACTGAGGGGGACAGGGGAGCCCGCAGTGATAAGATGACGTGAAAGCAGAGACCTGAAGGAAGTGGCGGAGGAAGACATGCAGGTTCCAGGCAGAGGGAACAGCAAGTGTGAAGACTGGAAGGGAGTGTGCTCAGTAGTGTTGGGGAGCTTCAAGGTGGTGAGAGTGGGAGATGAGGTGAGTGAGGTCAGCAAGGACCAGCGCACATAGGACCTAGCTGGCTGTGGGCAAGGCTTCAGCTTCTCTGAGTCAGAAGGGAAGGCGCTGGGGAATTTTGACTGGAGGAGTAACATGATCTGCTTATAGAAGTTTGTAGAGAATCATTTTGGGGGCCATGCTGAGAGTAGCCTGTGAGGGGCCAAGGGCAACTTCAAAATTATTGACTGTTTATTTTGTCAAGTGAGTTGGTTGCTTGTTAGTTTAACAGACGTTCACTGGGCCACTGAGCAGGGCCATGTGCTGCCTTAGACATTGTGTTCCTGAGAAGACAGGGGCCTTCTGGAGGGCAGAAATCTTGGTGAGAAAGTAGGCATGAAAAACAGTAAATTATGACATGATATGTGATGGTTAACTTTATGTGTTAACTTGGCTAAGCCGTGGTACCCAGATATTTGGTCAAACACCAGACTAGATGTCACTGTGAAGGTAGTTTTTAGATGAGATTGACACTTAAGTCAGTAGATTTTGAGTAAAGCAAATGCTCCTCAATATTGTGGGTGGGTCTCATGCAATCAGTTGGAGATCTTAAGAGAAAAAGACTGAGGTGCCCCAAGGAAGAAGGAATTCTGCTTCCAGGCTACCTTCAGA